ACGTCATTTTTACAACACAGAAATAAGACAAGATTATAACAGTAATATTGCTTTTCTAAAAGTATTTACAGATGCTTATAAATGTTTGCCCAACAAATCTGTCTCTAAACTTTATAAATCTAAATGGGAGGAAGAGCAGCGTGTTGTTTTATCAGAGGAAGATTGGCTTTTGATGTGCAGCAAAACAACAAACAACAACTCGCTCCAAAAGGTGGAGGGAATTCGGGTGGAAGTGTCTTGTACGATTCTTTATTACACCTCAGATTACTGCCACAAGGGTTGGATTCTCAGTGTTGGAGACAGTGTGGCCAGTCGAACACCAATCACTCTCATATTTTTTGGACATGTACAAAATTAAAATCATTCTGGGATAATGTGTTTGCAAAAACAGTTACGATCTTGACTTATGTTGTTCCCAAGGACCCAAAGATATTTCTGTTGGTCCTTCTGCCTGGAGAGGTGATCGAAAAAGCGGACAGAACCTTTTTAAAATTCTGATTTTAGCATCAAAAAAAGCAATAACGAGAAGCTGCTTAAAAAGGAGCCACCGACAGTGAACCAGCAGCTCGATATTATAGAAGAAACATGCTCCATGGAACGACTGACTTTTTTTCTACGTCTCAAAGGACATTTCTTCATGAAACACTGGACTAAATGGTTGAAATATAAACAAAAAGAGACTTGAGTCTGTCTCCTTATGACAGTGGAACAGTGCCCCAGGTTTGAGTTTTTTGTTTTTTGTTTTTGTTTGTTTTTCAAAACTTGAAAAACTGAATAAATAAAGAGTTAAAAAAAAAAAAAAAAAGAAATATTTTCAACCAAAATAAACATTTGTCCAGGCGACAAATTGAATTTCTCCTTTTGACTTGATATTTGTGGATAAATTGATCGTGTCTGAATGTTTCTCCTTTGTGGAGTTTGTTGGTTGAAGATTTGGTGATGGAGCAAATTTATGAAACACACACTTACACACACACATTTACACACACACACACATTTACACACACACACACACACTTACACACACACATTTACACACACACACACACACTTACACACACACACATTTACACACACACACACACATTTACACACACACATTTACACACACACACACACACACACACTTACACACACACACATTTACACACACACACATTTACACACACACACTTACACACACACATTTACACTTACACACACACACACTTACACACACACACACATTTACACACACACACATTACACACACACACACTTACACACACACATTACACACACACACACACATTACACACACACACACACACATTTACACACACACACACACACACATTTACACACACACACTTACACACACACACTTACACACACACATTTACACACACACACACACACACACATTTACACACACACACTTACACACACACATTTACACTTACACACACACACATTTACACACACACACACTTACACACACACATTACACTTACACACACACACATTTACACACACACACACACACATTTACACACACACACTTACACACACACATTTACACACACACACTTACACACACACATTTACACACACACACTTACACACACACATTACACACACACATTTACACACACACATTTACACACACACACTTACACACACACACTTACACACACACACATTTACACACACACACATTTACACACACACACATTTTACACACACACACTTACACACACACACACTTACACACACACACTTACACACACACATTTACACACACACACTTACACACACACATTTACACTTACACACACACACACTTACACACACACACACATTACACACACACACTTACACACACACATTTACACACACACACTTACACACACACATTTACTTACACACACACATTTACACACACACACACCTTTACACACACACACACACCTTTACACACACACCTTTACACACACATTTACACACACACATTTAAACTTTAACGTGAAACTCCACAAACCTACAGAGAAACTTCAGATGAAAAGTTCTGTACTCGTCAGTTGAAACCAGAGCTCGATGGAGCCTCTTTGCGTCCGCGCTCACTTCCTGTTTGTCAGCCCGTCAGATTTGTTCGTTTCTGTATTCCGCCCGTGGTCCTGAGTGAGAGGAGGAGAGGCTAACCACTCTGCCGCACTGACAGTCTGCTGGATTGTCTCGGGGCATAAACGGGTCTTTGTGAAGAGCAGCTGACGAGACGAGACCCAAACAAACTCACTCTGTTCAACACAACTCACTCAGATCCGAACGTTTCTCTTCTGATTCCAGAGAAATCCAAACGGTAAGAGACGTGTGAGTGTGTGACGGGTTCAGGACGACGGCCGGGAGGTCGAGCTGCTGCGAGGTTCACGGGGACGGAGCGGGAACTAGAACTTTGAATGGTTCCACTTTTGTCATTCATTCATTTTCATTCAGAAGAGTTACACTGATCTGAGGTTGGACTGTGTGGTTAAGAACGGAGTTAGTCCTGGTTTAGACTGCGGTTTGGACCTGGGTTAGTTCTGTTTAGTCCTGGTTTAGTCCTGGTTTAGACCTTGATTAGAACTGCTTTAGTCTTGTTTTAGATTTGGTTTAGTCCTGGTTTAGACCTGGTTTAGTCCTGGTTTAGTCCTGGGTTTGACTTGGTTTAGTCCTGGTTTAGTCCTGGGTTTGACTTGGTTTAGTCCTGGTTTAGTCCTGGGTTTGACTTGGCTTAGACCTGGCTTAGACCTGGGTTTGACTTGGTTTAGACCTGGTTTAGTCCTGGGTTTGACTTGGTCTAGACCTGGTTTAGACCTGGTTTAGTCCTGGGTTTGACTTGGTCTAGACCTGGTTTAGACCTGGTTTAGTCCTGGTTTAGACCTGGGTTTGACTTGGTTTAGACCTGGTTTAGACCTGGTTTAGTCCTGGGTTTGACTTGGTCTAGACCTGGTTTAGACCTGGTTTAGTCCTGGTTTAGACCTGGGTTTGACTTGGTTTAGACCTGGTTTAGACCTGGTTTAGTCCTGGGTTTGACTTGGTCTAGACCTGGTTTAGACCTAGATTCGACCTGCTTTATTCTTGTTTTAGAACTGGTTTATTTCTCATTAATCCTGATTTAGCCCTGTGTTTGACTTTGGTTTAGACCTGGGTTAGACTTGGTTTAATTCTGATTTAGACCTGGTTTAGTCCCGGGTTAGACGCTTGTTTAGATCTTGTGTAGTCTTGGTTTAGTCTTGGTCTTCTGGAATGTTTCCAATATTACGTGGTCAGTATCTTTGGCATGTTCTTTGTAACTGATTTAGTCCTGGTTTAGACCTGGTTTAGTCCTGATTTCGTCCTGGGTTTGACCTGGTATTTAGTCCTCTTGTTTAGTCATGGATTGGTCTTGTATTAGACTTGGTTTGATTCTAGGTTGAGTCCTGGTTGAGTCCTGGTTTATCCCAGATTAAACCCTGATTTGGTCCTGTTTTAGTCCTGCTGTTTAGTTCAGGTTTAGTCCTGTTTTATCCATGTTTTTTTCTTTGGTTTGGTCCTCTTTTAGTCCAGGTTTAACCCTGGTTTAGTCCTGGTTTAGACCTGGTTTAGTCCTGGTTTAGACCTGGTTTAGACCTGGTTTAGACCTGGCTTAGACCTGGTTTAGGCCTGGTTTAGACCTGGTTTAGACCTGGTTTAGACGTGGTTTAGACGTGGTTTAGTCCTGGTTTAGTCCTGGTTTAGTCCTGGTTTAGACCTGGCTTAGTCCTGGCTTAGACCTGGTTTAGACCTGGTTTAGACCTGTTTTAGACGTGGTTTAGTCCTGGTTTAGTCCTGGTTTAGACCTGGTTTAGACCTGGTTTAGTCCTGGTTTAGACCTGGTTTAGACCTGGTTTAGACGTGGTTTAGACGTGGTTTAGTCCTGGTTTAGTCCTGGTTTAGTCCTGGTTTAGTCCTGGTTTAGACCTGGTTTAGACCTGGTTTAGACCTGGTTTAGACCTGGGTTTGACCTGGTATTTAGTTCGCTTGTTTAGTCTTAGATTGGTCTTGTGTTAGATCTGGTTTCATCCTAAGTTTAGTCCTGGTTGAGTCCTGGTTTGGTCCTGTTTAATCCTGTTTAATCCTGTTTTAGTCCTGTTTTAGTCCTGGTTTGGTCCTCTTTTATCCCTGGTATAACCCTGATTCAGTCCTGGTTTAGTTTTGGTTTAATCCTCTTGTTTAGTCCTGTTTTAGTCCTGGTTTGGTCCTGTTTTAGTCCTGGTTTAGTCCTGGTTTGGTCCTGTTTTAGTCCTGGTTTGGTCCTGTTTTAGTCCTGGTTTAGTCCTGGTTTGGTCCTGTTTTAGTCCTGTTTTAGTCCTGGTTTAGTCCTGGTTAGTCCTGGTTTGGTCCTGTTTTAGTCCTGGTTTAGTCCTGGTTTAGTCCTGGTTTGGTCCTGTTTTAGTCCTGGTTTGGTCCTGTTTTAGTCCTGGTTTGGTCCTGTTTTAGTCCTGGTTTAGTCCTGGTTTGGTCCTGTTTTAGTCCTGTTTTAGTCCTGGTTTAGTCCTGGTTTAGTCCTGGTTTAGTCCTGGTTTGGTCCTGTTTTAGTCCTGGTTTGGTCCTGTTTTAGTCCTGTTTTAGTCCTGGTTTAGTCCTGGTTTGGTCCTGTTTTAGTCCTGGTTTAGTCCTGGTTTAGGTTTAGTCCTGGTTTGGTCCTGTTTTAGTCCTGGTTTGGTCCTGTTTTAGTCCTGTTTTGTCCTGGTTTTAGTCCTGGTTTGGTCCTGTTTTAGTCCTGGTTTGGTTCAGCTCTTGTGTTTTCAGTCTGCATGTTTTACAATTAATGCATCAGGTATTTTTTCTTAGTGTTTTGGTTGATTTGAATAATTTTCTTGTCGTTCTTCTCCTAGTTTCCCGGGTCCAGTTTTAATCCTGTTCAGTCTTGGTTTAGTTAAAAAAAAACCTGCTTTAGTCCCGGTTGAGTCCTTGTTTTTGTACTTACGTGTATATTGTGTTTGTGTTTGTGTTTGTGTCAGTGCGTGCGACCCGGAGATGGAGCGGCGTCTGGAGCAGATGGAGCGACGTCTGAAGGAACATTTCGACAGACGACTGGACGCCCTCGAGCAGAAGCTGGACTCTGTTTTGAACCTGGCGCTGACCAACCAGAATTTACTCCCAGAATTCCTCCCAAAGTCGCCGACGGAAGAGAAGATCCACCAGGAGACCGTGAACTGAGCCGGGATTTACTCGAGTATTAACATCAGCGAAGACAGAAGAAAAAACTAAACCAACTAAACCGGTCTGGGGTTTGTTTTTAAACCAGGATCGACGTCGCTAACATGAAATCCAGCACTGATCAAACTCAAGAACTGTATTTTGTGTCTAAAATGTCTAAAAATGTGAGAAGCTGCTTTAAAGTCAAACTAACGAGGCTGGAGTGTGTTTTGAACCGGAATTAACTGAACCAGGATTAACCCAAGCACACGGAAGAAGGTTTAAATCAACTCTGAATGAACTGAAAATGGTTTTAAAAGCAAAAATTAAATCCAAGTACTGTATTTTTCGGCCTATAAGTCGCACCAGACAAAAAATGTGTAATGGAGAAGAGAAGTCAGGTTGTAGTAAAAACAACAGAAGAGAGAAGAACAAACTGTTCACACTGTCACATATTTCACAGTTCTTCAGATAAACTAGAAACAACAGAACAGAACAAGTTGAACAAACTCTCCATCTCACTCCAAATCACTAAATCACTTCAGTTCTTCATCCTCGTGTCACTTCTGAACAACTCGACCTCCGGAGGGAAACAGAGCCACGCAAACTCTTCTGTGTCGCTGTCGTCCAGAGTCGTGACTTGGACTCGAGTCATGACTTGAGTCACTATTTTTAGGTCTTGAGACTTGACTCGATAAAATGAACTAAGACTTGGGACTCGACCTGGACTTGAAGCTCATTGACCTGGGACTTGACTCGGACTTGAGGAACTGTGATTTGAGAAGCACTTTACAAATCTGAATTCTTTCAGTTCTGACCGTAATGATTCACTCGAAGATCTTGTCGAGACGTTTAAAAAGGAAAAACTTTCATTTCTACAACTCTTATATACTCTCTAACCAGTGTCGGGAGTAACAGATTACATGTACCAGAGTTACGTAATCAGAGTACAATTTATGAGTAACTGTATTCAGTTACAGTTACTGTTTCAGTGAGTGGTAATTGGATTACAGTTACTTTGTTGAAGTAAATGGATTACACAGAGGGATTTAACTGTTTTCACATTTTGGGCTAAATCCCCCCTTTTTTTCTTTTTTTCAGTAATTCCACTCATTGACAGAAACTTAACCAGGTCTAAACTAGATCTAAACCAGGTCTAAACTAGATCTAAACCAGGTCTAAACTAGATCTAAACCAGGTCTAAAACAGGAATAAGACCGTGTCTCCTCGTTTTCTATCAATAATATTTTTAATTTGGTTCAGTAAAGTCTGGGCTTTTTTATTTTCTATTAGCAGATAAAATCTTAACATCTTATGTTACGATATCCTGGTCTTTGTTTCTCTACAGCAAATCAAGTAATCCAAAGTATTCAGATTACTTTACTCACTTTAAGTAATTTATTGGATTACATTACAAACTACATTTTGAGGTATGTAATCTGTAATCTGTAGGGGATTACATTTTAAAAGTCACCTTCCCAACGCTGTGTATAAATACTCATATATAAATTTACTATGATTTTTAAAGTACAATTTAGTTTAAAATTCACATAAACTGCAGAAATCTAAACTATATTTGTGGCCCAGTGACTTGGACTTGCCTGTATTTGACTTGGGACTTGACTCAGACTTGAGGTCAAAGACTTGACACTTGTAAAACAAAGACTTAGTCCCACGTCTGCTGTGGTCAGACTCAGCATCAGTTCAGTTTGAATTATTCTGGTCTTTCTGAATCTCGACAGGTGGTTTCAGTGTCACTGAAGTCCAGACTTTGTCCATCATCCAGTGACTTCAGGAAAGTTTCCTGGTGCTTCCTCCAAGTGTCACAAGTTTCTCTCTCGCTCCAAACTGTGGCTCCAGGACAGAGGCTCTTTGTGCAGGAGACATGTGCAGTAGAGTGAAGTGACAGTGGTGCAGGAGGAACAGGAGCAGCAGATCCTCACACACAAGACCAGAACCTGTCCACACTTCACCAGAAACATCACAGGAAACACACAAACCAGGAACAAAAAGTCACATTTATAATCTGAAAACTCCAGTTCCTGCCCTGATTGGTCTGATATTAATGTTCATATCCAGAGGTGAGACTTGTGAGTCGTGACTTGGACTCGAGTCACGACTTGAGTCACTATTTTTAGAACTTTTTTGAGACTTGACTTGATAAAAACTCGACCTCCGGAGGAAAACGGAGCGACGTAAACTCTTCTGTGTCGCTGTCGTCCAGATGTGGGACTTGGACTCGAGTCATGACTTGAGACACAATTTTTAGGACCTGAGACTTGACTTGGGACTCGACTTGGACTTGAAGGTCAGTGACTTGGGACTTGACTCAGACTTGAGGCTTGTGACTTGAGGAGACTTGATGTTTCTCCTGAAAAAAATATGTAAATACTTTTCTCTTTACAGTTGATAAATGTGGCATTTAATTTTAAAGGAACAAACTGGAACATGTCCCCCCCACTTTTGTTTAGTACTTTAGATAAAGCTGAAGTACTCTGATACTCAAAAGTACTACAGTAATATAAAGTACTACAGTAATATAAAGTACTATACAGTAAAACAGAGAAAATACAGAGAACTTGATCCTTCCATTTCAGACACACGACAAAATAACTGTAATTATCCCTCCATGTTGTTCTTCTTCTTCTTCTCTGGGTCTCGGGGGCATCAGTCTGAACAGAGACTCCCAGACTTCCCTCACCCCAGACACTTCCTCCAGCTCCTCCGGTGGGACCCCGAGTCGTTCCCAGACCAGCGCAGAAACTGTAATGAATCACTTTTAAACCTTTCTGTTCTGAGCGTCATGATTCACACTCAGATCTTGTCCAGACGTTTAAAAAGGAAAAATTAACATAATGAACATTTCTACAACTCAAATAAAAACACTCATAAATAAATAAACCATGACTTTCATATAAACTGCAAAAATCTAAACTATATTTGGTACTATATATTGGTTTAGAGACTTGAAATGACTTGAAGCTCAAAGCAGACGACTTGGACTTGAGTTGGACTCATGGCCCAGTGACTCGAGACTCGACTTGGACTTTCCTGTATTTGACTTGGGACTCGACTCGGACTTGAGCTGAAAGACTCGAGACGTGTAAAACAACGACTCGGTCCCACCTCTGTTCGTATTTTTATTTCGACAAAACAGTGAAATAAAACCCTGGGTTCATGTGTCGCGAGTTTCATCTGAACATTTAAGACTAAAACGACGAGTCCAGGTCCAGCAGCAGGTCCAGGGGGAGGAGCCACGTACTGTTCTCTCAATAGAAAGTGAACTGGAGCCAGAGTCGGTGGAGTCTGTCGTTCTGACTGTAGTTTGTTTTATCCCTGTTTCCTGTTTCACTGTGACGTCTCGTTTCTCTGTGTGGAAACTGAAAAGATAAAAACACTAATGGTTTGGTTTTTATTAACTCTCTGTGTCGGAAAATAAAATCTCCTGAGTTTAAACTTTCACCTCTTCTTTTCTGAACGTGGATGAAATTCCTTGTACTTAAAGATGACGAATCCTCATTATTGGTTTTCTTATGGTTTTGTTACGTCTTTGATAGTGTTTTTTTTTCCTACATTTATATAAAAACATAAAAAAATACAATATATTTAAAGTGCAACTAAACTACATGCTGTTTTGAAAGCGTTCTCTACTTTTTTAGGTCTTTTTTTAGGGTAATTTTTGTGCAAAATGTGTAAATTTGCAGAAACGCTTAAATCTGATTGGCTCCAGTGGACTCTGTGATTTCAAGTACTATGTGACATTACACAGGACTGTCAAATGAAACAGAAATGCACCAGAGTTCTTGTAGAGGTGCAAATGCAGGAACAGGAAATTAAAAGTGAAAAAAAAAAAAAACATAGCACACTCCGATGTCCAATGTCCCATAACTTTTTTTTTTTTAATTTATGAATGATGTTTCTACAAAAAGCCTTCGTCAGATCATTTTTGTTGCTTTGGACAGGACAGTTTCACACACGACTGACCCGATCACAGACGAGTTTAAAGTGTGGAGACGTGTTCGACCAATCACTCTGTTCCTTATTCAGGGTTCCCACGGTCATGGAAATCCTGGAAAAGTCATGGAATGTTCGTCTCTTTCCCGCAGCTCCAGTTCTCATTCGACTCTTCTGACTATTTCTGTGTCTTTAGTTTAAAAGAGACGACAATAAACTCACTGACAGGATTTAAAATGTTCAAAACTATAATCCCAAACCAGAAGGTGAGTGGAAAGAGCCAAAGATGTTCATTTTGTCTTCTTATCTACTTTAACTTCTTAGGTTCTTTTTAAAGACGATGCAGTAAAGTGTGTTGATCTTGTTGACATGTTTCTGCTGCTGCGTCTTCAGTTCTGTCCTCGGTGTTGGTGGTGACGTGTCTTTTGTCAGCTGCTGTTACTTCCTGTGGGCGTGGTCAGACCTGATGGACCTGCAGGTGGCTCAGACTGACCACGCCTCCCGTCGCCTGATGTCTCTGGAGGAGCGTGTCCCAGGTGTGTGAAAGGAGGAACGCTCCGTCATCTGGGTTCATGGCGTCCGTGTGTCTGTGCCTCGTTTCCTGATTTCACCGTCCTCCTTGATCCAGCGTTTGAACTTGTTGTTTTCTGATCCAATGACCCGAGTCCCGTCCTGATCCAGAATGTGGTTGTTCACATGGCCCTGACCTGTGGGGTGCCTCAGGGGTCAATCCTGGGCCCCCTGTTGTTCAATCTCTACATGCTGCCCCCTACAGGCCAGTTAATAAGCAGCAATAACGTGTCCTACCACAATTATGCAGACGACACTCAGATCTACGTCTCTCTGGCAGCAGGAGACTATGGACCAGTGGAGTCACTCTGTCACTGCATCCAACAGATCAGTGTGTGGATGCAAAACAACTTTCTCCAGCTAAACTCTGACAAGACTGAAGTCATAGTGTTTGGTCCACAAAAACAAAGAGACAGTGTCAGCATCACCTCCAGTCTCTCTCTCTAAAACCTTCAAATCAGGCAAGAAATCTAGGGGTAATAATGGACTCAGACTTGAACTTTTTTTTTTTTTTTTTTTTTTTTTGGAACTTATTTTTATTAAATAATTTTGGTGCAAGTCACATAATTATGAAACAGCAGCAAAGATGCAACACAAGTAAACTGATAACACAGTGACAGTATAGATACAGTCATACACAGTCTCCTCGTTCATCTTTCATCATCTACACACACACACACTGCAACAAAAATCCTACAAAAGACAGTCGTCCTTTTGACATATCGGCCTGAACTGAAGACCATTTGTCCATGAATAAATCTGTCTTCATTTGTAACCTTGCAGTTATTTGCTCCATATGATCTACATCCTTTATTTTATTTTTCCACTGGGTGATTGTGGGGGCAGTGGCCTGAGCCAGGAGACGTTATCATTTGTTTTGCAATTAAAAGTAAAATTTTCAACAAATGAAAATGGCTATTTGTTCTTAGTCATTTGGAAAAATTCCCAACAGAACACTACATGGCTCTAATATAATTCTGATCCCCAAACAGTTTTCAATTTCGCACTGCACGTCCCTCCAAAATGTTGTCAGTTTAGGACAATCCCAGAATATGTGGGAATGATCCTCCACCAGACCACAGCCCCTCCAGCATCTATCTGAGGTTCCACCAAACTGACATGTAATAAAAGGAGTTCTAAACAATCTAATTTTAGTTTTCCATTCAAATTCATTTAGTACTGGGCTGTTTGTAATTTTATATCCCTCCCGAAGTGTCCGATCCCAGTCCTCATCCTTAATTATTGTGTTCATTTCTAATTCCCATTTCTCCTTAATATGCAGTGTGTTTGTAGATATGAGATATATATTTGCTAGTAATAGATTTTTTAATCACGGATGTAAAAAAAATTTCTATATTTGTAGGTGGAGCCTGCAAAGCATCCAGCACTGTGTTCTTATTTAGATAATGTCTCAGTTGTAGATATTTAAAGAAATCTTGGCTTGGGAGGTCATATTTTTGTTGTAGTTGCTGAAAAGATCAAGCTTCCATCCTCAAACACTTGAGCCAACATAATCAGGCCCCAGACTTGAACTTTAACAGCCACATCAAATCAATCACATCTGCAGCCTTTTACCATCGAAAAAACAGAGCAAAAATCAAAGGTTTACTGTCTAAATCAGACTTGGAGAAACTTATCCATGCGTTTGTCTCCAGTAGGTTAGATACTGTAATGTTCTGCTCACTGGTCTCTCCAAACGAGCTGTGAGACGCTGCAGAACATCCAGAACATCCAGAACATCCACAACATCCACAACATCCAGAACATCCACAACATCCACAACATCCACAACATCCACAACATCCACAACATCCACAACATCCACAACATCCACAACATCCACAACATCCACAACATCCACAACATCCAGAACATCCACAACATCCAGAACATCCAGAACATCCAGAACATCCAGAACGCTGCAGCTCGGGTCCTGACTCGAACTAGGAAGTACGAGCACATGTGTCCTGGTCTCAGGTCTCTGCTCTGGCTCCTGTGGCTCAGAGACTTTAAAGTGTCTCTGTTTGTACAAGTGTCTCCATGACCGAGCACCAAAGTGCTGTGTTTGTTGGTGTTTGTTGGTGTTTGTCGGTGTTTGTTTGTTTGTTTGTTGGTGTTTGTTTGTTGGTGTTTGTTTGTTGGTGTTTGTTTGTTGGTGTTTGTTTGTTGGTGTTTGTTTGTTGGTGTTTGTTGTGTTTTGTTTGTTGGTGTTTGTTGGTGTTTGTTGGTGTTTGTCGGTGTTTGTTTGTTGGTGTTTGTTGGTTGGTGTTTGTTGGTGTTTGTTTGTCGGTGTTTGTTAGTGTTTGTTGGTGTTTGTTTGTTGGTGTTTGTTTGTTGGTGTTTGTTTGTTGTGTTTGTTGGTGTTGTGTTGTTTGTTGTTGGTGTTTGTTGGTGTTTGTTTGTTGTGTTTGTTGTTGGTGTTTGTTTGTGTTTGTTTGTTGGTGTTTGTTTGTTTGGTGTTTGTTTGTTGGTGTTTGTTGGTGTTTGTTTGTTGGTGTTTGTTGGTGTTTGTTGGTGTTTGTCGGTGTTTGTTTGTTTGTTGTGTTTGTCGGTGTTTTGTTGGTGTTTGTTTGTCGGTGTTTGTTAGTGTTTGTTGTGTTGTGTTTGTTTGTTGTTTGTTGGTGTTTGTTGTTTGTTGGTGTTTGTTGTTGTTGGTGTTTGTTGGTGTTTGTTTGGTGTTTGTTGGTGTTTGTTTGTTGGTGTTTGTTGGTGTTTGTCGGTGTTTGTTGGTGTTTGTTGGTGTTTGTTGGTGTTTGTTGGTGTTTGTTTGTTGGTGTTTGTTTGTTGTGTTTTGTTTCGGTGTTTGTTGTGTTTGTCGGTGTTTTGTTGGTGTTTGTTTTGGTGTTTGTTTGTTGGTGTTTGTTGGTGTTTGTTGTTGTTGTTTTTGTTGGTGTTTGTTGGTGTTTGTTGTTGTGTTTTGTCGGTGTTGTTTGTTGGTGTTTGTTGGTTGTGTTTTGTTTTGTGGTGTTTGTTGGTGTTTGTTTGTTGGTGTTTGTTGGTGTTTGTTGGTGTTTGTTGGTGTTTGTCGGTGTTTGTCGGTGTTTGTTGTGTTTGTTGGTGTTTGTTTGTTGGTGTTTGTTGTGTTTGTTTGTTTGTTGTGTTTGTTGTGTTTGTTGTGTTTTGTTGGTGTTTGTTGGTGTTTGTTGGTGTTTGTTGTGTTTGTCGGTGTTTGTTGTTTGTTTGTTTGTTTGTTTGTCGGTGTTTGTTGGTGTTTGTTTGTTTGGTGTTTGTCGGTGTTTGTTGGTGTTTGTTGGTGTTTGTTGTGTGTTTGTTGTTGGTGTTTGTTTGTGGTGTTTGTTGTGTTTGTGTTGTTTTGGTGTTTGTTTGTTGGGTGTTTGTCGGTGTTTGTGTTTGTCGTGTTTGTGGTTTTGTTTGTTGGTGTTTGTTGTTGTTTTGTTGGTGTTTTGTCGGTGTTTGTGGTGTGTTGTTGTGTTGTTGTGTTTTGTTGGTGTTTGTGTTTGTTGGTGTTTGTTTGTTGGTTTGTTTGTTTGTCGGTGTTTGTTGGTGTTTTGTTGGTGTTTGTTGGTGTTTGTTTGTTGGTGTTTGTCGGTGTTTGTCGGTGTTTGTTGGTGTTTGTTTGTTGGTGTTTGTTGGTGTTTGGTGTTTGTTTGTTGTGTTTGTCGGTGTTTGTTGTTTGTTGGTGTTGTTTGTTTGTTGGTGTTTGTCGGTGTTTGTTTGTTGGTGTTTTGTTGGTGTTTGTTCGGTGTTTGTTTGTTGGTGTTTGTTTGTTGGTGTTTGTTGGTGTTTGTTGTTGTGTTTGTCGGTGTTTGTTGTGTTGTGTTTGTTTGTTTGTGTTTGTTGGTTTGTTTGTTTGTTTGTTTGTTGTGTTTGTTGGTGTTTGTTGGTGTTTGTTTGTTGGTGTTTGTTGGTGTTTGTTTGTGTGTTTGTTGGTGTTTGTTGTTGTGTGTTTGTCGGTGTTTGTTTGTTTGTGT